GACGCCCTTGGGATCTCCGACTGGTACTCGGAAGCCGCTGTCGATGCGTTGTACTGTGTGCGTGCTGCAACTGACAAGCCAATCACCTCTGCTGGAGTTGTGTGGTCCACACTGTGGACCTTCATTCGGAATTCCAACCGCGCTGCTCGTGCTGCTGGTCGCGCTGAGATCTGTGAGGATACAATTAGTGTTAATCAGGTCCAGTTTCGCCTCGAAGGCGTTCAAGCATGCATCGGTCTGGATTTCCTGCTGCTGGCGCCTGGCGTATATCTGTGCGCAGGTGTTCTCCCAGGTCCTCAGCGTAAGTCGCACGCGTTCATGCTGCAAGTGACGAAGCACGGTCGCTTCGTTTCCGACGAAAGCCTCGTTCAGATGCCGCTGTTAGAATGCGCCTTTTCGTGGTTGGCGAAAGTGCGGTTTGTCCGACGCGTCCTGATTCGTCAAAATACCGGTTCAGGGAAAAGTAGGCTAACTTGATAATAGCACGGATCCTTTTCATCTTGACTTTGTATACTTGAACTTGCACCTGGAACTTGAAGATAATCTTGAAATTTGTATTCCTTGAACGTTTCACTGGATCTTGAACATAATCTCGACTTGAAATTGCTAATCTTGAATCTTGAGTTGCTGTCGTGTCCGTCGGCATACTATTTCGCCTCAGAAATTTGACGTCGTCTTTTTCTTGATCTTTTAGGCGTCTTGTTTTCGTACGCTTGGATCAACCCGGTCACTTGGTGAAGGTTCTCAAGCGGTTCCCACGTCGCCTTCTTCTCACCCACCCACCGAATGAGGTACTGTACATTCCCCTTGCGCTGACGCTTGTTGACAACTGCTTCGACGATCTGTCCCACCCGGCCATCATGCAATATTACCTCGTGAGGTCGCGAGAGACGCGTCGGAGACTCGTACGGCTTGAGTGAGCCGGTGTTGAAGACTGGATGTAGCTTGAGTCCAGGCGGCAAGTTGATCTCGTACGCGTGTCGGTGTACCTTGCGCACGACGGAATACGGTCCAATCCACTTGGGTCCAAGCTTGCGTGAGTTGGGAAACCCCGTGTGCACTGTGTCCAGGTTCTTCGTGCTTAGGTACACTTGGTCACCAACGTTGAAGTCTTGGTCTTTACGTCCGCGGTCGTATACGTCGGCCATACGGGCTTGCGCTTCCTCGAGGGCATCCTGACACTGGCGAAGTACGGCCGCTTGATGTTCCGTAAACTGAACGCCTTGGCGTCGTCCCCCGCGCAATCCTCGCCGACTTGACTCAGCAACAGCAGATAGGGGGTTGTGCGGGACGTATCC